TTCTGTCCAACGAGGTGGTAAAGGAGGTGGTAAAATGGATGAAAAGCCGGGAGTGGTTCTGTTTGATCGGTTTGATGATGATGATGATGAAAGTGTTGATGGTTCATGAACACCAGATGAATAAGAACCAGAGTCACTATAAGAGAGAGATGAGTTTTCACTGTTCACCGAAATACTGTCATCATAATCATGGAAAACAGATCGGGTATCACGATAAGACGAAATTGTATTGGTCGATTGACTGTTTTTGCCAAGAGAAACACCAAAATTACTGCTGCTTATTGTTGGTGTCGGCGAATAGCTAACAGGCTCATAAATTGGTTCCTCTATGTTGTTGTTGTTGTTTCCACTCAAGTTGATGTTGTTTACACTCTGGTTAAACTGGCGAGATGAAACTTCTTGTTTCTTACTTGATTCTTTCACATTGGTGAGGGAAGACGAAAGTGAACAACTGGTTCCTCTTAGACGATTATTATAATGATTCGGATTAGGATTAGGATTATTGCTCCACAGAAAACTTGGCGTCTTTTTGATATCTTCAGCGAGAAGAGATTGAGTGAAGGTTGAAGATGATGTTGACGATGATGATGATGATAATCGAGAGTCTTTTGGTAATTGCTGATGTGAAATTGATGATGAAAGAAAAGTTGATGATGATAATTTAACCGAATTTGAATTCTTTTGATTATTTGAAATGTTTCTCGGTGCTGGTAAAGGAGCTTTAACAGATTTACCTGATTCTTTGGTTGAACAATTAACTGGTGTACAATGATGAGTACAATTATCATCGTTAATTTGTGTTCTCTCATCGGTAAAATTAATCGTATTTGTTTCATTGTTGGAAAATGTTACCCCAGGCAAAGTTTTCCTTCTCGAGGTAATTACTGGTTTACTTGATTGTTGATCTGACGTTGATCGATTAATTTTGCTTGTTGATTGGTGAATATTATCTCCTTTTGGTGATTTAATACATTCAAGACGCAGAATTGTTTCCTTAACTGATACAACTTTTTCTTCATTCTCTTCGTGAGTCTCATCAACATTTTCTGACCTCCCGCTGATTGAACTGGACAGTGAATTTGAAGACGATGCCAAGTAATTAGTTGCTCTTGAAATTGTGGAGACATTTGATTGTTTCAATTGGTCAGATGAGTTTTTATGCACAGTCAACAATGAAATGGATGAGGTAGATGATGATGAGGTAGAGATCATCCTATTGGATTCACGAAGGTCACTTTTACTTTTCCAAGGTTTCTCTTCATCTATTAGGCCACAGTTAACAGAATCGACAGCCGATGAATTTTGATTAACATTTGCATCAAATTTAGAAGCAATTTGAGCGATTCGAGAATTACTTTTCATTCTAGACCCTTGTTCCATATTGATCTTACCAGAATTACATTTCTTTTCCATCGGATAATTACCATGGTTATCAAGAGAGTAGGAGGGTGACGATGGTGATGAATATGGAGACAATGATGATGATGATGAATGTGAAGTTGCTTCTGTTAATGTTAATCGACCAGATGATGAGAAGCGATTACATTTAACATGTTTATCAGTTAGAGTAGAAGACGATGAATTTGATGAGTTTAATGAAGTGGATGAGCACCGATTAGGATTATCTGATTGTAATGAACACTTTTTATTGACCATTGTTGAGATTTTTGGTGTTAATGATGTTGCACGAACTCTGTTGAAATGATTACACGTTAATAGAGTTAAATTGCTCAATGACAATGAAGGTGTTAAACTGGAAGAGGAGGTTGGATAAGTTTTACGTCGAAGTTGAGGAGAAGAGTAAGTCACAATTTCAGGTTTCTCTTTATTCTCATCTTGACCATCACATTTTTCAAACTTTTCCTTTATCATTGACCATTTAGGCGAATTGAGAAGACTACCAACAATTCGTTGATTGCAATTACTGGTTTCTAGAGATTCACGTGAATCTGATGTTGAATTAGACCGATTAGAACAATTTAAAGAATCGCCATTTAATCCACTAGGTATTGATAAAGCTCTTAGATAATTGCGACAAGTTTGTTTTGATTGTTGACCATCACTATTATCATAATCACTTTTATACTGATTACAAGGTAAACTATTTAAACGTGAATAAGATCTTGTTGGTTTGATTGTATTGGAAGATGAACCATTTGAAATGTGATTGATTTCCTTTGATGATCGATTTGATTTCGTAAAACGAGTAATCCGAGGACGTGGTGGTTCTTGGGGAGTCGAAACATAATCTACACAATCTTGAGAAACTAAAGATGAGCCATTGGAATCCTGATTAGTACTGTTATTAGTTTCACTTTTAAATCTTGAAGAAACTAAATGACTTGAAGATTTCATGATTCTTGGTGATGTTGGTGAGCTCACGAATCCAGAAGATGCAGATATTACTGATGGTGAGGATGATGGAGATGATGGAGATGAATATGATAAACAATTAAAGTCCGATGAACCAAGATTACTGTCAATCGGTGATGATTGGAGAGATTTTGATGTTGATGTTGATGACCGTGATGATAATGAAGAAGAAGATGATAAAGATGACGAAGAATTGAAAGTTCGAGGTAATGTTCGTCTTGAAATCGAACTGAGTGTCAATGAAGGCTTATTGATCACTGGTGTTGATCCTTCGCAGTGTTTTCCATCCTGTTGATTTTTCAAACGCTTTCTCCAATAATCTGAATCATCGGTTTTATTACTGTTATTATCTTGATAATTTTTATCATTCTTTTCACAATAGTAACTTTTATTCCTGTTGCCGGAGTCTATTTCATGATGTGTTTCAAGCTCAGGGTCAGTTAAATGTGAGATATAATTTGGTAACGATGACCGAATCAAACTGAGACCGGTTGTTGATCTTGATGTTGTTGTGAAACGGGTTGAAGTTGTTGTTGTTGTTGTTGTTGTTGAATTAGTTAAATGAAACTGACCACTCCTCGGCTTGAAGCCGTTTAACTTTGAATCAAACTCATATAATTTCCGGGAAAATTGTTCTATCTTATTTAGTTGATTTGATGGTTTAACCAATTGAACTAAACAACTATCTGATCTAGTCTCATGTTTATCAATTGATGATCTTGATGAGGGAGATGAAGATGGGGAAGAGACTGAGGATGATAGAGAGCATGAGAATGGAGATGATGAAGATGAGGATGAGGATGAAACCGATGCCTTTGGGCTTGAAGTCCTTTTCATCATCATCACATCCCTGGTTTCATTTAAAATCATCTTGTTGGTTAACTTTTAGTTATCAACATTTAACATTAACCTAGGAACTTAAACCCGATTATTTATCAAGTTTAACCAATTAGCCTCCAATACACATAACGGATCAATTGTTAATCATTGAATGAAACTCGTTTTTATGATTATTAAATTGTTGGCAATAAGGATTCAGGAAGAAAAAGGTTCAAATATGAGAAGCAAAAATTGATCTTCTTGATGATGGAACGTGTTCCTTAATTGTTGATTCATTGATTTTTCTTTTCTTTTCTTTTATCCAACAATTAGTCTTAGGGTTTGTCTCTTTATCACTTATTCACCTTTAACCAATAATTCACACAATTAAAGTCAATTAACTAGATAATTGGATTCACCTCATGAATTTTAATCACTTTTATTGAAGGAGAAACTTTAAATTAAAGATGAAAATGGAAAAGACAATCAACTGATTGAAATATGGAAGATGAATAATTAGCAATAATCGATGAAAGAAATAGAATCAATCAGATATTCATGTTTTTCTGCCTCGAGATAAAAATAATAACAAGAAACACGAATGATAAGAAAACAAGGAGTGGGAGGTTGGGTGGTGGGGAGATTTTAATTATTTAACAGAATAACAACTCCACTGATTAGTTTCTATTTGAGGAAATCGCTAATTAAAAGTAATTAAAACAAAATCAAATGTTAATATCGACGCAAATAAGGATGAAGATAACAAAAGCACCGGTTCGAGAGAGAAAGAGAGAGAGAGAGAGATTTTCTTTCTATTTACTTTCATGTTTCTCTTTCTCTTTTTCTTTCTTCTTTCCTTTTCCTCTCCATCTTCATCTTCCTCTTTTTCATTAACAATAAATTGGGTATTCGACCCTTCCCCCAATATGGTTGTTATACTTTCCATCCTCATCCTATTGCTCTTTCCTTTTCCTTTTCATCATCACTTCTCTCCCTCGCTCACTTCCAATACTCTACTTTGCTCTTCCTACAGTTGATATGAAATCGATGAAGATGATGAAGTGATGGGAATACCTGTAACAATGGAGGTGCAAAAAGGGCAATCAGGAAAGGACAGAAAAGAGAGATTGAGATAAACTGAAGAAATGAATAAACGACTTTAATTAGTCGAAGGTCGATTCACATGGAACAATTAAAAGCCTTAAAGGTAAACAGAGAATCGATTCTCTTATCCAATAATAACCTTCATTTAAAAATGAAAATAATTATCGAGAGATTTTGTCCAATCACCATAATCACTTTGATTTGATTTATATCATAAGGTTTACAAGGATAATTAAACTACTTTGGCCTCATGCAATTAGTATCTCACTTACTATGGAAGTATTTTTAATCGTAATTAATCAATCGTCTGTTGATTTATTTAAAGTAAACTATTAATTTGATGTTCACACCCTCGATCAGAAATTATTAATAAGTTGATTAATCAGCTCATTGAAAATTTTGCGCAATTTCAAAAGTCGATTCATTCAAACATTTAATTATTTTACTAACAATTAACTACAATTACAATACATAAAACGGAAATGTGACCAATGTTATTAAGTTCAATTCTAATCTCAATTTTTTTTCTAATTACATTTGATGAGACTTGTCATCTGGGTTGATTAATTAGCTGATTGCTTCATTGAAAAACAATCAGTTTATCGCAATTTTCATTGTTTTTTTTTCTTGTAAAGATTTTTACTCTTTCACCACATCTGATTGCAGATAAACAAAAGAATTAAGTAATTCTGGAAATTGTAGTGGTTCCATCATGATAAAATACCGTTCCAATTGATGATGTTTTGAGGCTCATTGCCCTATTTCATTAAATTACGGCTCTTAACGAGATAACATTTAACTTTAATTATCGCATGAAAAACTGGTAATGGAGAAAAAGATTAATTACTTAATCGGAATTAACAAGTTAACATAATTCAAGTTAACTCTACAAACCCAATTCCTCATGAAACTTGTGGGCTTACAAGATTTCACTAACGGTATTTTGATTTTAACTTTATTATCTTTGGGTTATAATTTTCTCACTCATTAATTATTATTTTGTGATAATTAGCTAACTTTTTATTTTACATTTGATCAGTTAAAATGAACTTTTTTTTCAATTTGCAGAAGCTCTGGTTTGATATTTTGAATTGAATGAACATTTCAAAATCGATGTTTGGACCAAAATCCAGATCGTGAACACGATTCTCTCGATTCCAGTCCATAGCCTTTCGAGCAGGCAGGGAAAAAGTGAACCTTTCGAAAGTGAACTGTTCGCATTGTGCTGCCATCTAACGATTTAGATTCAATTCATGAGGCAACAATTGAGTGAACCAAGAAAACAAAAAGTTTCGAATAAATAATTGGGCAGAAACTTTTCCCGCAGAGTTTCGCGATTTAATTAATCACAAAATGTTGAGATTTCCATTACAATTAAGGGTATTTCCAAGTTCAAGTTACGACTCTAAAAAAGCAAAATAGTCCATCAAATTAATTACGAAGCTGAAACAACATGTTCGCCATCTATTGGTTAATTAGTTTACTTTTTAATGAATATTTTCTTGTTTGATCTTTCTTAATATTACTTGTTATTATCTTGTGTTAATATTTGTTTTAATTTGAAATTGTTGGATGATTAAGTAAGAAAGATGAAAAGATTATCAATAGCAAAGGTTAGGATTAAAGTGATTGAAAAGTTTGATTGGTCATTTGATGTGATTTACACAATCAAATGAATGGGATGTAAAGTAATCAAGATAATTTATAATAAGTGATAATTTATTTGAGAAAATAACACTGCAATAAATAATCTCAAGCTCTTTAATTAAACAGCAATTGATTGTATTTTATCAATAAATTAAGTGTCCAATCTTCGGGTAAAAGTTTTTCTTAGAAATTGATTACATTTGAACCAGAAAAACAAACATTAAATTAATTACAATTTCTTGGTGTTTCAACGTGTTCCTTTCATGGTTAATCATTGAACTCGATTGTGGCCCATTAGAGTTTACATAAATTAAGTTTGAATTGATTAAATTGATCTTCACCAATAAGATATTTGGATTCCTTAGGAAGATTATTATCATTTTGTATAAAGTATTTTCTTATTGTCAATATTATCAAAGGATAATCTATGTTTTCACTGGATAAGCGATGATAACTAACTATTAATACATTTGAAGTTGTTTGTAACAATTTAATCAGCCACTTACATGAACTAAATCAAAATAATCATCGTAATTATCAATCATAGAGAATAGTTTAAGGCAAGTAGTTTATTATACAACTTTTGAGACACAATAATTGTAACTTAAATTGAGCAATAATCATCAATTAACGATCCAATTTGCAATAATAATTCACTTCAAGAAGTTACAACTCATCAATCAATTCGATGTGCTGGTAAATTTCATCGATTCCATTTATTATGAGTCTCATTCATGATAATTGATAAAAATTCTCTTATTCGATCTTGAGCAAGTTCTGTAAAAATTAGATTCCCGCATAAATGTTCAAATTAAAAGTGACAACTTTGAGATTTCGTTATAACGATTGGTACTTGCGTCCTTAATTTAACAATTGCTGGTCCATGATTTCGGTTTGGATTTGATTTGATTTCGTTACATCGCAAAACTAATGTACAAAAATAAGTACTTGAATCGAGTCTTCGAAAAGTGTCAAATCAAGAGAATTAAATCTTGATAACAAAATGAAAATAAATTGATATTAATTGCAAAGATCATTTAATGAGTTGATGGAAACATTGATGAACTGAAATTCATTTTAATAGTATTTATATTAATATAAATGTAATACAATTTATCTTGAGGTGTTTAATCAACAATTTCTGATAAAAACTAAAACTTACGAAATTCATGTTAATCTATTTGACAATCAAATTGATTATCAACCTCGCCGGTGGCCTTGTGACCTTCATTTGACTATCATGACTTTTGATTGCTCATCAAATGATGAAAATAATAAAATAAAATAAACACTATTATCATAAAGGTGATAGTGAAAATAGCAAAACATTGATGAAAACCTGAATTAGAATGAAACTTTGATGATTAATTTAATATTGATTTCACTGATTCTAAAATCTAAAACTGAATCTTAATTATCATGATGATCGTTTGATTATAACAATTTTCTAAGTGACCAGAAAACATCATTAAACATGATAACATGTTTACTTGGTCGCAATGAAGAGTCAGAACTATTACCAAAATAGCAATTGGCCCGAACCTTTTTCGGTGTTAATCAAGTTTCACTAGTTAATCAAACAGTTACTCTCATTAATTTAATTTCTCTTTTTTATCTCAATTGATTTCCATTATCAAGTGGCCAGATTTCATGATAATTACTCTCATTATCTCACAATATTGATTGGGTACAAATTTTCATTAACAGTTAAAGTAAAAATGAATTATTATTTTTAATTTTAAACGCATTCTAAATATTAATCCAGTTAAATTATATATAAATTGATTCACTTGATGTCTAATTAATATTTTAACTGGAACTGTTTCATTTGAAGTAATCACTTGAGATTCAACCATCAACATAAAACTTCAATCAAGTTACCAGAAAACACACCTTTAAGTTAAATCAGTTTACTAATTTACTTAATTGTAGGAAGTTAGATTATTAATAATCGTAATCGTTGTGGGCTCATTTGCAACCCACTTTTCATCAGTGATCAACATCTCATCTGTCTATTTGACCTCTATTTATATTTTCATGTCGAATAATTAATTTCACTTCATCTTAATTACAATTAACCTTAATCAATTGCTAATTTTATTAAATATTCAAAAATCACGCCTGAAAAACAGCAACCAAAACAAAGTTGAACATTTTTGTTTACAATCAGTAAACAATCATGATGATTAAGTTAATTGATAACTTGTCAAAATAAAAGTAACAAGATTATTAAATATGAGTCTTAATCAATCAGAAAAAGTGGATGAACAAATTTAATTGACGTTAGTTGGTTTTCTGATTGATTGATTGAGTTAATCAAATGATGATTGAAGATGAGGATTAATATAACGGACACAGAAAGGTCAACATGATATTGTCAACCTTGACATTGGAGATAAAGTTTGAATGAAGATTAAGTAAGATTAGTAAAGATTAAGGAAGATAAAAAGTGTCATCAATTTTATATAAAAATCTCAAAGTTTTCTCATCTTTTTGACTTTTTCAGTTTTTTGTCGAACCATTTGATTAATGATGATTTTATTAACTTGTTAAGACAACAATTAATGAGAAAAGATTGTAATCAGTTATGATAATCTTGCAAACACATACAACTAGTACTTTAAATTTCATCTAATAATGAGATAATTTGATGAACGATGAAAACCTTTACATTATCATGGGAATAAAACGAGACAATTAGATGAATACAGTTGAATAACCAAAGAGAAACGATCACAATTAATTGACAATAACAATTGTTTCCGTATTTAAGGTCCTTTCGCTTCCGTGTAAAATCAATTGTGGTAATCAGTTCTTTGAGAAGATGAACAGAAATGATTTACTGATTGAAGTTTTTTTCGATAAAACTTTGATAATCATGTAAATTTTTCGTTATAATTTTGATCAACAGAAATCGAATAAGAGAAAATTGGTTTCCAATGACCGTTGATTGACCAAATTCAATCGATTTCTCTTATTATCTTAATATTCACCATTACGATTATTGTTTTCGTCATCAGTTTGCTCTCAATAAATTGGGTTAGTCCTGAAGCGAAAGAAAATTGTAAATGTTAATAATCTGCCGAAATTCAATTGATTATTATTATCCGTTGATCTTAATTGTGTCTATATCTCAAAATATCTCAATAATATCAAATGCTAATCATGTTGATCTTTAGTAATGTTTTTGTTTTTATTTGTTTACCTGTTCAATTGATTTCATAACCGCGATGTTTACATGATCATCTACAGAATCATTATCGTTATCACAGAATCAGAATCAGAATCATCGAGTGACACCTTTTTCCTTCTCCCTGGTTTGGGTTGACAATTTTCTCTCTCTACGGTTCAGCTAATCTGCTAACAATTAAATTCATCATCAATATTATAACAATTATATTCATCATTTGTATTATTAGTATCGTAATTAAGATTGATTCATTCACTTTTCTCGATTTGTATTGTAACTGTCAACTCAATTCATGAGATTGATTCACTAATTGTTTAAAGGTCATGAAGATATAATAATAATCATTTGCACCATCATCGTTCAGTCAACTAATCATATTAACCATCAAAAAAAAAATTCAGATTATATTAAGAAAAAGTAACAAACTAATCTTGATTATCTCTCTCTCTCTCTCTTAATCATATCAATATAATAATAAAACAATAATGGATTAGCTTCATGGTTGAGTTAATTGTTAACCACATTTCAATGATAACTAATATGTTTCAAGTACAAACGAATAATTTAATTAATCCAATCCAATTGTGAATACAGATGAAACATTTTCCCTATCAATTTAATCAAGAACACTTTGAACTAATCAGAACTAAACTATTAATATCAATGATGATGTTGGAATAATCAAATTCATTCAATGTTTCCTTGGCTCGATGAACTTTTCTTTCCAAAAAATATCATAACAATTGACACTATTCTTATAATCAATTATCGTGATCATTTCTTCAGGTATTTTCATGACAATCTCGATGAATAACAAGTGAATGAATGTTTCTGTCGACACCAAGGAAACGAAAGTGAAAACGATTATCATGGTGTTATTTTCTTATGAGGTGATGAGCAGCATTTTAAATCAGTGAATGAAACATGATTCTAATCGCGTTGGTTTAGTGGACGTTTGAACGTTTATTTTTAGTTTGGACGCTTTATAATTACATCAAATACCAAATAATGAAAATTTGGATAATTAAGTTTATTAAGTGAAAACATGAATGACTTGTAATAAATAATTTTCACCTTTTCCGTTATTTTAAAGTTAAAATTATTTACTATCATAATGATTATGATTAAAGGTAATAAAGGATGATTAACATTTACTTTATCTCAAATGAATCCATTCATTTTTATTTTTATTTTTCTATTTTTTTTCTGATTCTGTTTATTGTTTGATTTTTTTGTTTATTTGTTTATTTGTATGCTGGTTGATTGTGTTCAGGTAAACATCAAACTGTGAACAGTTTTACAGGTAAATCTTGTGGCTATTTGTAATTCAAAGGAAGGGTCAGATTATATTTGATTAAGAATAAGAATAAGATTATCTTAAGTTTATTCGTGAAATGATCATGTTGTTATCTGTCTGATGGTTTCTCTTGAATCTTTTTTTTTTTCTCAATTCAATTGTTCCTGGTAAATGGCTCTTCTTTTTTTTTCTTAATGAGTTGAATTGGGTTGATGATGAGGATAAGGATAAGGATGATCTGGTTTATTGTCCAGGCTTCAATGAATATGATCTTGAATGACAACAACAATTGAAACCGAATCTATTTGACTCAAATCCAAGAATCAATGCCAAGTTTAAATATTCTGAACACTGTCTCAAATCAAGACGGATTATTGTCTTTCTCATGGTCATTATTTTATCCACCGAGTCACATGATTTTCATCTGTCATCATCATCATCATCATCATGGAAAAAGACACAACATCTTCATTTAATCTGATTGTGAGATATGTTATTTACCTGTCAAAATGATGATCAATAAAAGCAAGAAAATTGAACATTTTCAATACCCTAAACTGCCCCTTTGTTGAGTCTCTATTCAAGTTCACCTTGACCCAGTGCCCCTTAAGGTCAGTCGAAACGAAGCATGAAAAGATTAACGAAATACAATTTTCAGTAGATTTAAAAGTTTTGCGTGTTAATCTGAAAATTGAGTGAAAATTGAGGTTGATTAAGTGATGGACATGCTAGAAATTATTACTGACCATTACTTTGATTTCGAATTATAATAATAATTATTTTCTCTTTTGTTTCTATTTTATCCTTTCCATCTCCTCCTTTATCATCATTTTCCCTTCTCTCTCTCTTCCTCCTCTCTCATCATCTTTTTATTATAATCTTTTCTTACCAAAGCAATGATAACATTTCAAAGAATCAGAATCACACCAATGGATAACGAACATTAAGAAACCAGTCTGTCCATCAACAAACTGGTTTTTAAGACACAATCTTTTCTCTTACTTTTCCATCATCATCATCATCATTTTCTTCATCTTCATCTTCATCTTCCTTCTTTTCTCCACAAGAAACAGTTTTTTTATACATTTTACTCTTTTACTTTATTCTCAACCCTGTTACCTTTTTTTTTACAATATCTTAAGATTAATTCTGATTCTGGTTACTTTTTCCATCTAAAGATCATCATGAGGTGGAAAAAGTTGCATTGAGTTTCCAGAAAGAAAGAGAAGACAAATTCTCGTCTAATAGTATTGGTCATGAGTACGATAACCTTCTAATGTTTGTTCTTTCTTTTCTTTCTCTCCCATTTTCTTCATCACCAGCATCCCCTCCCTCTCCTCCTTCTCTCTCCCGCTCACCAAACTTCATCATTTCGTTTGATTCTCAACCAAATGAATGTTGATCTTGTTTCACAAGTAATAGTGACCTCCATACTTTTGCTCCGTTATGCTTATTGTTTGAATTATTATTTCTACTCTGTAACCAGCATCATCATGTGTTCATGAGAAATACACAAATTCATTGAGTCTTTTCAGACAAATTACAACAAAATTCAACAACTTTTTCCCTACAAAATATAAGTTTATGTTTCTAAAGTTAAGCATCTTCTCTACTCTCAACTCGCTCTGTTTATCAAATTGACCAAAAAGGAATTGAATTAATTAAAAGCCATAAAATGGACAAGGCAATGTGACCAATTGTGTTTGGAAAATTGTGTTATATTAATATTGTTGATAACGGAACAGTTTCTGAGAAAAACTCACCAAAATCTTCAACAAGTTTAACATCATACGAAAAGCAGGTTATTGAAGATCGTAAATGAAACGGTAAATCCTGTTCTGAGTTAAGTGTTAATTGTTAAAATCTGGTCCATCAATTAGTTAATTGTTGAAAATGGGAAACAACAATGGCAAAAACACATCAGGACAATACAATAATCGACCTCATTCTGTTCTTGGTGTTCGAGGTGATGAGCGATACACTTTGACAGATCCTGATGTACTTTCCCGTTATTATCACTCACCTTCTCTTCACCCTCACCCTCATCACCTTTCTCCACATTCACATCACTCTAATCAAGATAAATTAGCTAATAAGATATCCGGTAAAGCTATTCTTCCTCCTCTGCCAAGATCACATTCGTTTCATCAAATCCTCCGACCCACTGAAAATGGGGTTAACCTTATTCAGAAAGGGACCATTCGAGGTATCGATCACCATCGTCATCATAATTCAGGCAAAGAGTTATTATTAACTCCACCCGATGATATACTTAATCCTGAGTTAAATGCAATATTACGTGAAAGAAGGTGTAAAAGTGAAGCTGATCTACTGGGCGACGGAGATATTGATGATACAACTGCCCAAGAAGATAAGTCAACATCCGATAAAAGCACCGAGAGATCGATTGAAGGATTAAGAAAGGGTTTAGGTAACGGAGTGGCAGCGAGGATCCAGCGTGCGAAGTATAAAGCACCAGCACCACCAGTTCCAGTTAATCGAATGACAAATGATGCACCAAATGGGAACAATAATAATGAATACAATCCAATTCGGTCTAATGGTGATCTTAAAATGTCATCTTCATCCATGATGTTCATTTATTCAGATTCAAATAATCGAGATAGTAAAAGGAGTTTACAAGCCAAAGAAAAGTCAACGCCATCAGCTGATTCGAATAAATCTAAATTAGGTTTAATCCGTCGGTTAAGTGATAAATCATATTTTCCTATTGGTCGTAGTTCGAGTGCCAAGAATTGTCCAGAATTGAATAATTCGTCAACACATAAAGACAATTTTGTTCTGTTACCCAGATTAAAGGGATCACCTTCACCCAATTTCGACTCGAATCATGGAAAAAGAGACGATCGATACACCAACTACGACGAAATGAACTGTCACATTTATCCAGAATCAAACGAACCTTCACTCAATGAAATAAACGATTTCATTGCTAAAGAATTGGCTTTGAGATCATCTGTCAATGATTCTCCCAATGGGATGAGCGATAAAGATCAAGGAGCAAGTGATGCAAATGAAAATGGTCGACGAGGAGTAAGCAAAATGTTCAAAAGAGATAAAATGAACGATAAAAATAATCGATTAATTTCTGGTTCAAACGAACAGCTAATTAAAAATACTAAGCCAACCCAATTACCGCCGGTGTTTGATGACAATTTCATCTTAAAACGGACAACTCCAAATGCTGGACTAAACCAAGACTCGAGAGGCTACAATGGACCGAACGGGATCAGTAATAAGAAAGCACTTGATCTTTATCCATCAAAGATTAACAATTATGAGTTTGACAGAAACAAATACAATCAAGAAGGTCAAATGTCACCTAAACTTGGAATATCAAATATGATGTCAAATAAAACTCGTGCTCACCAGAATCTAAATGGTCCAATCAACCACAATATTCAGTCCAATCACCATTCTTATCATCTTGACGGATTAATTGGTCCAGACCGATTACTTAATTGTTCATCTCCTTCCTCACCAGATTATCAACGATCATCCAACCATAATCAAAGACAATCATCAGCAAATCATCGATCCCAATGGATCTTAGGAAACTATCCAAGAGAAACCACACCAATTTCGTTGTCATCATCTCCCTCAGTTCCACCTCCTCCTCCTCCTACTCTTCCATTCATCTCTGGTGATTGTTCAAATCTCTCTTCAAATAGAAAAGAGGAAAGTATCACTCGATTGGACTCTTTGAAACACCTTAATCACTCATCGATCAGTGACAGCGCCAATTATTCAGATGAAGATGATGAAGAAGAGATTAAGGTTGTTCTTAAACCTTATCTTCCACCACCTCGTCGTTTACCCTTCAACGAAGAGCCAATAATCATAGTTGATGATCTGTTCAATAGCGACGATAACAATGTAAATAAGTGTCCACCATTATCATCGAATCGTCAACAATGTTGGACTCCGATGGAAGACTTGACAAGCTCAGAAGAGGAAGATCTTGATGAAGACGATGATGATGGAATTCATTGTGACCCACAATCAGAAGATGAAGATGGATTGAATAAGAGAGATGTTAGAGAGCTGATTAACGACTATAATACAAGATTCACCCTAAAGAATCAGCTGAGAACCATAATTCAGAATAATAAATTAAGATCATCACAAGGATATCCTTAATATCCTTAATTGTGATCAAACTATCCAATTAACTTAAACTGTTATCCTTTAATTTTATTTAATAATATCCTTCGTTATTTACATTCACTTATATTATCAATTTTTGGCTTAATTGTTCAATCATATTCACCTGACCAGATTAATTTAATCTCAATAAACTTTTTTGTTTTTGTTTTCATTGGACTCAAACTTATTTCCTATGATGGTTGAACCTTGCAGGTTAATTTCATGAGAATCCATTTGATATAATTAACTCGTTTACAATCAAATTAATGTTTCATTATGTTATTAATTGTATTACGGATTACGGATAGAAAGTATTAGATTAAAATTTGTAGCAATTAAATTTGCTTGACCATTTCGGTCAAGTAACTTGAAAAACAATGACTGACACAATCAGATATTTGATTACAGTTATTCATGTAATTTGTTCAGCACTAATCAACAACAATGAAAATGATTATTTGATAAACTCATAATCAAATTCATGATCTAATTACTAACAAACATTTAGTCATTTTTGTGCAAATTCATTTAAAGTTCAGATTAAATTGATGGATAGAGAAAAGATCAACTTTCATTGATGAAAAAACTGTTAGTTAATTGTGAATGAGTATAAAGTCAATTTCCTTCTTTGATTATCTTCCTTTATTTTTTAATCAATTTAATCAACAAGACTGACCAATCCTTCAATTGTATTAATTTCATCCAATATCAACCCTAATTTGTTTACGCCATTAAAATGAGAAATAGAAAAGTAGAAACAAAATTTGATTGATTGGTTGTGGACAGAACTTAATCTAATGATTAGCTGATTAAATAATACACTAATTGACCTAATTAAGATTAGCCCAATGTTAGTTACTGATTAGGAAGCTAAACTTGATTAATAGAATGATTGATCTCTTTATTGTTTTATTCTAATTTTTCCTTCCCATTGTTGTATCTTTAATATCGTTTTGGTTATAATAATAACTTGAAGAGATCGCCTTTGGATCCACTGAGGTCAGAAAGATGACCTTAACCCTTGACAATCTCGATTGGATTCGAATCATGAACTTGATTAACTTGCGCTTATATATAATTAGAAAAAGGAAATTCTCAATCTTTGGTGAGTTATTTAATAGAAAGATGGAAGTTCTCGGTTCAGTAGCTGATAAAATAGTTTTATTACTCATTCCCCCTGAAAATGCCCATGAAACTATTGATCGTTTGATATTTATTAGTATATTTGAGTTAATGATTCGGACGATCAAAGGTTAAGTGTATTGATGGATTTTCGGTAACCGGAAATAAGATTAAAAGAGATCCTGATATTAAATCGCTTGAAAGTTAAATCTTATTTTTCTATGTATCCATTGTGTCAACACTCATTCAAAAAGTGAATCAATTGTAAACAATTTATCTTATCAAATTGAAAATATTGTGCAATTATCATGAATCAAAGTTTTCGGTTTCGGTTTGCCAGAAAAAAAGTGATACTTGAAATCACGTAATCATTTCAATGGTTGCAGATGAATAGTCTTTGGTTGAGATGATTATGGTCACAATTACTTTTAATGTTCATTCAAACGAAACCTGTGAAGTCTTTATCATGCCTCATCAGATAGAAACAGTTTATAAACTCATTGAATTGACAATTTTTAATGAAAAATTTGAAACAACAAGTTTAATCGACACTTTTTTCACCAACCATTGGATAGAAGATTCAAAATTGAATGGATTTGTAACCCTTTATTCATGGATAATGAAGTCGGATGTTAATTGTTCATTGTATTAATGTTAAGATTGAAAAGAAATCACAATGAATCAAAACAGCCTGTTGATTGTTTTTTCCATGAGATTATTACCAATACTGATCACTAATTATTGGGAGAATTAAAAACAAGAGCAGAATAATTAACTGTAATTAAGTGTACGAAGAGTTGATAGCTGCCAAAATTTGGAAATAATTAAAAAATTCAAGTATTATTAGAAATTAATTGCTCTTATTTAATTATAGTTTTAACTCTAATTATTGAGTAAAGTTGGAAATTAGTAATGGCGATTGAGGTGTTTAGTTTAGAGGAACAATTAGATTTAATTGTAACAATAATTATCGTTTTATAATTAAGTCTATATCCAATTGCTACAAAGATAACATCATCGTCTCTGTCTCGTGGCCTTCATATCATGAGATAAGTTGTGATGTTTATTATATCATCAATCAATCGATAACTTAAATTTGCTACTAATAAACAGGTTCCAATGATTATCGCAATTTGAATTGTTATCAAGAGCAAAATCAACATCCACCAACGAAGGCACAAGAACATCAACTGAATGGTTCAAGATAAACTTTCAAATAAAATTGTTTGTTCACTGAAAATGGAATAAAATTCATCAATGAAATTAAGGATAAACATCTTCTGATTGCTGGCTAATTAACAATTATATTGCAGATTGACGATGATCTATGATAACATGAATTCTCCATCAGGAATCACCTTCAGTTTATAACAAATAAAAGATTTGAATGAAACGATTTGGCCAAAAACACTCAACTGTAATAGTGGAGTAGTAGTTAAAATACACAGTTGAGCACACTTTTTCTGTTTTCTTTCTTTTCTTTCTCTTTCTTTTTTTCTTTCTTTATACACAGTATGAACCACTTTTCTCTTACTTTTTCTTTCTTTGGATACACAAATGAGTCACTTTGTAACGAGACAGTCTATTTATAGCCGACATATTTTCTCAGGTATAAATAGAGCTGACGATTTCAATTTTCTTTTAATCATGGTTGAATCGTTTGACGAGTATGATCAAATAGCAAGAATATACCCATACAGATATCATTACAATTATAATGGTATTGGTGGTTCAAGACCACGTCATCCAGAGTACAGAAACCCTATAACTCGTCTTGAATCATTTGTTAATTGGCCAAGGCCGGATATAGACATCGGAAAGTTAACAGACGCTGGATTTTTCTACGAAGGTAACGAAGATAAAGTAGTTTGCTTCCATTGTGACAGTGTACTTTTCAATTGGCAGACAGATGATGATCCATTCGTTGAACATGGTATACATAGCAAAAACTGCTATTTTATGTATGTAAAATGTGGTTGCGATTTTCCTTTACGTTGTGTTTTAGAAACTAAACCACAAATACCAAAACCAGAACTACCGAGAGTGGATATCGGCAGATACAAGTGTAAAATCTGTAGAGAAAAGGAAATTGGTTGTATTTTCCATCCTTGTGAACATACAGTGTCTTGTACGGACTGTGCAATTGATCTTGATTCGTGTCCAATTTGTAAAACTAGTATTCGAAAAATACTACGTTTATCACTAGTTGATTAAATGGTGCTTTGTGAAGAAATTGTTATCAACAATATTGTAATATCATTTAAATTGAATAATAAGTTGGATCGACAAATCGTGAAAGCATGTTGTCCATCTGTTGATTATCCCAAACGTTTTTCAGGAGGAATACTGAAGCTTGATGGTGGTTGTTTATTAATATTCAATTCTGGTAAGATCAATGTTACAGGAGTAAAAATCATGCTGCATATGAGCTAATTGACAAGTTTTGTGATCTTTATCCAGATAATTTATATAAAAGAAGCTAAGGTAGTAAATATTGTCGCACATCTGAGATTAAATTTAATTTCAAATATTATCATCTCAATAAATTTCCTTATTATTCATATGAGCCTGAACTATTTCTGGTGTACATGTTAAAGTCGATAACACAAAATTTTATCATCTTCAAAAGAACCGACGAGTTACTGTTACTGGTATTCGTGACATTATCGATATAGAAAATACTTCATTCTGTTTGAACAATTATATAAAGGATAATTTTTTCTTAGTAAAAGTTAATCATGGACAAAGCGGAAGAATATAGGATTTGGCAAGAAGGTTCTCGGTACAAATATTGGTTCTATTATCAATGGTGGTAACTGCTATCCAATATAGTATTCAAGACGGAAACTTACCACTTTGGACAGCACTTTTGATCATCACTTGGTTATCTATTACCGACCCTCGTTACAGAAATTATAAAGCTGAAGATAGAAAATCTTCTCCCAATGTATCAGTCATCATCAATTGAATTTATTTATTAAATGAATAAAGAAATTAATTAAACACAAAATGTATTCTGTTCATTTGAAGCATCCATTCACAATGTATCTGGGCCTACAGGCTCTGGTAAGACATACTTTGTGCGAAATATGATAAACCTAGCAGAGAAAATTTGTGACCCCCCTCCAGTTAAAATAACCTACTTTTATGGAGAATATCAAAAAGAATTTAGTTCAATGAGTAATGTTACTTTTGTAGAAGGGCTCCAAGAGGATATGATTAACCAAGCCGGAGGAGCTGACCCTGAATGGATAATAATAGATGATTTAATGTTTGAAGCAGCTAATCAGAGTTTTATAAGTAATCTTTTTACACGTGGTTCACATCATCGTAATATATCAGTAATTTTTATAACTCAAAACTTTTTTGTTAAAGGTAAAGAGATGAAATATTAGTTTAAATAGTCAGTATGTAGTGTGTTTCAAAATCCGAGAGACAAATCAATGATTTCAAATATTGCGCGTCAAATGTTTCCATCAAGGATTAAAAACTTCAACAGATCTTCGAAGATGCTACATCGAACCTTATTCATATCTGTTCTTTGATTTGAAACCTGATACACCTGAAAAGCTTCGATTATTAGCCAACAATTTCAATGAAAATGATGACCCAATGTATGTTTATCCACTATAATTTATATAAAAGAAATTGTTGTTTTAACGTTATTCAACATGACAGTTGAAGGAGTCATCAAGTGTCTACCGACATTAAAAAGACTTGCTAATGAAAAATCAAAAACTGAAAGAAATAAGTTATTAAGAAAATCAAAGTCTTGTATATTCTATGCAATTTCAGATATAAGTAAAAACACACTAAACGGAAATATACCTATCAATCAAATACAACAAAGGAAAATTGGCAAGTTTAGGCTCAGATAAGACTCTTATCAAGAAAGTCAGGGTTCCTTTAAAGAAACGTAAAGAAATTGTGTATCAAACAGGTGGAGCTTTCACCAGCACTACTGTTACCTGCTCTATCATACTTTGGTGAAAAGTTGATTATCAAGTACATGTAATGAACACAATATCAAAGATGGTGTTAATTCCAGAAAAGAATATCAATTACTAAAAACAATATAAAAGAAGTTCAAGAAGTTGTTGACAAACCGATCGAACCCACTTTTAGATGAATATAAAAGACGTTCAATAAAGCCGTTAAGGAGTTTGAAAAGAGACCACTGAAAAGAAAAATAAACACTCCCAATTATAAAATGGGAGCGTGAAGAAATTCTGAAGAATATTTATTATGACATTAACAATGGAAGTTTTGGTGGTGTTAATCGACTATTTGTTGCCAGGAGAGTTGATCCGAGCATTGACATAAATTTTGTCAAAGATTGGTTACAAGGTCAAGAGACATATACAAATTTTCGATCAAGAAAAAGAACTTTCACGTTTACCTGTATTAGTTGATAGGCTGGATGAACAATGGCAAGTGATGGATATGTCATATTGGGCTAAAGATAATAATAATAACCGCTATCTACTGGTAGTAATTGACGTATTGAGTAGATTTGCCTGGGTTGAGTCTGTTAAAGACAAATCATCATCAACAATTACAGGTACTTTTAGGAAACTATTTGACAATGGAAGAAAACCAGAAAAGTTACAAACTGATCAAGGTAAAGAGTTTAAAAACAAAAGATTCCAAGACTTTTGTTCAAGTGTTGGAGTTCATTATTTCACAACAACAGACAATTCGGTAAAATGTGCATTAGCTGAAAGATTTATAAGAACTTTAAGAGCAAAAATATACAGGTATATGTACCACAATAAATCAAATAGATATATTGATGATTTACAAAAGATTGTTGATAATTACAACAATTCATTCCATAGAACAATTAAAACAAGCCCAAATTTGGTGACCAAGGACAACCAACAGGAAATAGTTCAAACAATTCAAAGATCAATAAAATCAAGACCTAAAAAGCAGAGAACAATTAAAGTAGATGATCATGTGAAAATTCCTCTCAACCCAATGACTGGTGAAAAGGGTGCTAGTCAACAATGGACTGATGAGGTGTTCAAAGTTGCAAGAGTTAAAGAGACACCTGGTCATACTGTTTACAAGCTGAAAGACTTGATGGATGAAAAAATTACATCAATTTTCTATCCAGAAGAAGTCCAAAAGGTTAAATATGACCCTAATTCAGAGTATAGAGTGGCAAAAGTACTTGATCGTGTTTATGATCGAAGGAAAAGATTATATAAGCACTTGATACGATGGGAAGGATGGCCAAAAAAGTTTGATACCTGGATCTGGGACGAAAGCAAGACGAATAAAGATGGATAGAGACTCATTCACAATTGATCTCGTTTCAAATGGATCAATGAATTTTTACCCTGAAAACACAATTTCAGCTTTTCAAAATCGAATTGATCCTCCTCTGGAGTTGAATGGGGATTGGGAAGCAGCTTTAACAGAAGTATATTTTCCACTTAAATTTGCTGGGGAAGCTGAGATTAAATATAGATTAAAAATTAAGCGTTTTTACTCTTTTACAAATGAAAAAATTTTTGCTATGACTAATGATTGGGTTTATGTGTCGAGTACAAAAACAGTACCATTTTTTTTGAACGATTCTCCTGAAAAAATTTTAAAGAGTTTACAACAAAGTTTTGATGAAGCGATGAAAGAGTTACCAAACGAGTACATAAAAGAGACTACACCTGCTGACTATCCGTTGAGAATCGGAACTGATAAACTACAGATCGGTGTACACTACTTTGGTGTGGATTCTATGGGAATCTCAGTAAACTATGGACTTGACTTTCCCAAAGTAAAATGTTCATTTTCAACAACGCAGGCGAGTACCAGAGACCTTTAAATATTATCTTCAGAAAATGAAAGACCTTCTTGAGAATAATTTACACGGTTGCATTTATGTACCAATATTTGACATAAAAGTAAAAAGGTCTTGGGGATTGATAAACTTGAAGATGATTGGTGGTCCGCAAATAAGGTTGCTTCCTCCGTCTCTAAAATTCAATTTGGACGCTGCAAACGATAAAATTTTTAATGTATTTATACACTGATATCATACGTGATCATATGATCGGTGGCACACAAGCTCCTGTACTTCGAGCTGTCCCATTAACAAGTGGGATTTTTAAGGACATTGGGTATTGTACTTTTAATCAAAGGATATATTACCCTATTCGAAAAAACCATATTGAAAGCATAAGTGTATTGGCAACACATGATAGTGGAGATCAGGTAGCCTTTGAGGGTAAAGGAAGAATGTTTCTAAGTTTAGACTTTCGTAAAAAAGTTGTATAAAGACCAACATCGTCTAAACTATCATCGATATGCATCGAAAAGCTTATTAAAGATAGTGACTTTAGTCATTATTACTCAAGTCAAACTGGTTCTGGATTTGGTGATATTAGAGTTGTTAGAGCACCACGTTACCAACGAGGGTACGGATTCGGTAGTTTTATATCAAGACTTGCTATGCCACTAATTAAATATCTTGGACAGGAAGCTTTAGATAAGGGAGTACAACTTGGTAAAAAAGTCGCTCAAGACCCAAAAATTCAACAAGCACTCAAGACTGGGGTAACTAATCTAGCATCAAAGGGTCTAACGAAACTTCAACAGAAGGTTGAGAGTATCCAAAAAGGTAAAGGAAGAAAAAGGTTATATAAAAGGAAAACAATTAAAAAGAAAACAACAGGTAAAAAGAGACCAGTCAACAAGACAAAGAGAAAATCAAAGAGAACATCTCGTGACATTTTCAACAAGAAATAATGGAATTTATTCACAATGAATCATCACCAGCCACTATTGCTGAGCTTGATTTATTCAAATTACCACCTACACAAACTGTTGTTGAATCAATGTATGATGTTGAATATCGACCTGTAGGATCCCTTGATGAAGCGAAAGTTTTTGAATTTGTTGTACCTTCTTCTGAACATTATACGGATCTATCAGCTTCTTACTTACATGGAAAAATCAAAATTGAGTACAAAGATCCAATACTAGCTACAGATACAATTACACCCGTGAATAACTATGCTGTATCATTATTCGAAGAACTTGATGTTTATCTCGGAAATGTGAATGTAACGACAGGTAATAGTTTGTTTCATTATCAATCATTTATCGAAGATTTGTTTTTCAAGTATAAATCACCTGTTGATGCTTGTCAATTGATTGATGATGATGATAAAAGAATCAATCGAATTAAAGATTCATTTGACTTCATTCTACCAATTCATGCACCAATGTTTCAACAAGAAAAGTTTTGATTGATGGAGTACCTATTGTTTTACGGTTCAAACTGGCACCTGCACTTTTGGCTTAACATGTTCAAAGTCGGATCAATTTCATTAAAGTTTGAACAAATGTCATTATTCATTAGGCGAGTAAAGTTATTCATGCCTGTTCAGATGACTATTGAACAAAATCTAGCTAAATCAATGGCCAAGTATTACTTTCAACGAAATGAAGTTAAATCTTATCACCTTGTGAACGGATTTGCTGCCAGTAGTATCGATAATGTTTACAATGGACAGTTACCACGAAAAGTAATAATTGGATTTGTAACTGATAAGGCATTTAATGGTGACATTACGACCAATGCATTTTCATTTAAACATAAAGACATGAAGGAAATGTCATTGGTTGTTAATGGTGTCAAGATTCCAAGTTCAGCATTCAAACCTGATTTCAAAAACAAGATTTATATGAGAGAGTATTACAACATGTTCAGAGCTATGAATCAAGAGTTTGAGTGCTAAAATTAATATCAAGTACTCTGATTATGCTGACAAGTACCCATTGTTTGTGTTTGATTCACAGATGATGGTACATTGGCAACAGACTCTGGAGCTCTCAATGATTAAAAGGGAAGTGCTCGAATTGATATACAATTTACTGAAGCTCTGACTGAGGGATTACATGATTGTATTTGGAATATATGATAGTGTTATTCAAATAAATTCAAATAGAGCTATAACAACAGATTATTGATGGCTTTATCAACAATTGATATTGATACCATCTCAAGAGATTCTCAGAGTTCAAAGGTGTTTTCGCAATTGATAAATTACCATTTGAACTTTTTGAAAAGCCGTTTGGTATAGTAATAAATCTAGATCCTAGTTGGAAACCAGGCTCTCATTGGACTGCTCTGTTTGTATCAGAATATGGACATGGTGAATATTTTGACTCATTCGGAACTGCACCACCTGATGCTATAACTTTTCTTGAAAGAAACTGTAAAATAATTCTTTTCTTATAATCAAAACATATTCAAGGAGATTTATCAATCAAATGTGGTTATTATTGTATTCTTTTCTCGAATCTCATTTCAATAACTTAAATTTTCCGTTAATTAAATGTAAAACACAAGTTAATGATTACATATTAAATAAATTTTATTAAACAATTTTATTAAACAATTTTATAATGTCCAAATGCATATGTTGATACACCATCCTCGCGTATATATCTCTTGTCATCCAATGGAGATAAAGATATTTTATTTGTTTTTATACTTGAAATCTGATGATGTTTAGATTGTAATCTGTAATTATCATGTCTGAATAACACACTATCGTAGAGACAGGTCTTGTAGTCTTCTATCAATATCTCATCACGAACGGTTGCCTTTTGAGTTCCTTTAGCGGTCTTTTTTATCTTTGAACCATATTTAATTCCATAAAGCTTTGATTTGATGGCGACAACTTCATCAATAACTTGACCATTCATCTCGTCCTTTAGTAGCCCAAGTTTCTTTTTGTTTGAAACATCATAGAGGAAATGATTTTCAGGGTAATCCGAAAAGTCCATAATTGCTGACATTGATTTTAAATCATTATAAATATCTTCAGTTTCAATATGATAAATGAAGCTGTCAGTGTCAGTGTAAACAAGATTTAGGTTATCTCCATAAAGAGGTTGAAAGTGATCGTAATGTAGTTCATACATCCGAAGCTTTGATAGTTCTAGTACTGTGAATCCAAGGTAAATTGGCTTATCCAGTTTAACCTCAAATTTACGTAATTTTATTATTGCCAAATCATTATCCAGAATGTAAAAGTGTTCAAACATTGGCTTTCTAATCTGTTTCATTGCTTGTTGACCGTTTGTCACTACTTTAACTTTGGAATGTTTCCGCTTATCTTCAATGCTCTTTCCATATAATGAATTGACCATCAATTTCCAAAAGTCTTTTTCAAATGAATTGGTAGCTCTCTGGCGATTGAGGGTGCACATTGAAATATAAGGTTTCAACCATTTGGATTGCTTGAACTTGAGAATACGATGAATTTTATCCAAGATTAGTCCCTTTGATAACCAAAATCTCAAGTTTCTTTCGTGTACCACATAGTTTTTCTTATCTCTTAGATTAGGAATTAGTTTCTCAGTTTTACATCGTTTAAGACCAACACTTTCAAGATCAGATATGATTCTCTTTTGATAATCACTTAACCATTCATCATCAACTGTTAATTTCTCAGGAGCCATGGGATAATCATTATGTTGATCGTGTAAATGTTGTGGATAAATTAAATCAACTTGACAAATGTATCCTGTATCTGAATCTTGTCCAGTCATTATTGATTCAATCACTTGATCAAACGATTCCGAAGGGACCCATTCAAAGTTACTCATTGGTAGATTATCACTCAAAGCATAACCATAAAGGTTATTCACATCCAGAAAAGTAATGTATGAGTTGGGTTTATTACAATCATAATTCTCAGAGAGAGGATTGTTGGCAACAACATGTCTTGTCATTGCACAAGAAATTCCTCCTCGAATCCCATTCTCAATCATAAGGATCATGTCAATGTCTGTTAATAAATCAAGTTTGGTTTTTGTTGCTTTGAGAGCAGCGTCCCAAGTGAGACCTGGTGTAGAGAAATAATGACAAGGATCGAGGCCAAATTGTTTCAAACTTGTGAATCTAAAGTTTTCAAATATTGCCGCTAAAAGTAAGACATCAACTTTCAAGTAAATGTCATGAAAATCGCCAAGGTTTTGACAATTGAAATGATTCCATATCCTTTGTAAATTTGAATATGTTGATTCATCTATTGTTTTTCGACATAGATGTGAATAAAATTTATCAATTGAAGGTAAATTGACATCATCAAATTTACTCCAAGAGTCCATATACTCATAAGGTAAACACCCTTTTGATAAAAGTAGAGGTAAATCTGAGCTATTGAACATTTGTGATAAATATTTTGTTTTATCTTCATCTGGTAAATTGTTTGATAATGTATCAAGGCTGGATAGAAGAAAAGCGAGACTATCTAGAAAAATGAAATCATCCATGAAAAAGGCAATATACTTTTCACTATTCTGTGGGATTACAGAAATCTTTTTCACTGTATTTGACTTGATCCCTTTCATAATTAGATGAGCATCATAACCTTTCAAGTTATGAAAAATGACTGGTATTCGATTTGGTAATCTAAGTTTCAAATTGCACAGATTATGAGCTGCTCCACGGAGCTTACCAGTTAGATGACAATGATCTAAAACTTTGTCTTGGAAAAGTGGTTGTAAACAAACATGGCAAATATCAGCAAGTTCATAAATTATCCTTTCTTCTGGTGTTAGAATTGGCGGCTTTATTCTCCTCATTAGATCAAGGTTGATGGACGCTTGTACATTGTAAAGGCTTCTGATGAAATTCTCTGCCGCGTTATCACCTCGATAGAATTTATTGAACAGTATTTTACCTGTCCAATCAACAACAACCCAGCCAAATGAACAAGCTTCATGCTTTTGGTATTCAAATGTGCTTGCACCTAATGCATTTTCACTTTTGGTCACTAAGGCTTCAAAGTCAGCGTAAATAACATATGGATAAGAAATTGTCTTTTCCACGTGAGTAAACTCACACGTTTTCGGGACATTTTCTGTACCTGGAAGAATGGTTCTTTGAGCTGAGTTGTTACCACAATAAATTTCATGCTTTGTTAGTGAGAATTTATCTCTGAAACCAGATAGGCAAGAATAACAGAAAAACCTTTCCCACGATTTGGTGTTCCACATAAATTTGTCAAAGTTGGTGATGTGAAAATAATGATCATTGTGAAGAAATAGATTAACATGATTTGTCTTCCTGTCCTTGTTGATTAGCAATGGGACAACCTTTGGGTTCTTACAGATTGTCATTGTGTAGACATTAATTGAAACATTGTTCTGCTTTTCAAAGCGATTAATCTGAGAGAAAGGCGTAATTGGATCGATATCTCTGAAATTGTACCATTTCTCATATTTTTTATATTTAGAGACTCTTTCTCTATGTGTTGACTGAGGGTGAAGAGCCATGAGAACGGCCCACTTGAAGCAATGAGACTTACAAACTGGTGATACCAAGCTCCTTTTACGGATCAAGTTTAGTGGTAATTTAACGCTTGAACAACCACCACTATTTTCTTTCAACTTACCTACTCTGATTTCCAACATTTTGACTGCCTGAAGTACCCAACCACTTCCACGTTGAGTGAACTGATCAACCACCAATCCAAGGTTTTCAATCCATTTAGTGATCATTTTCTCAATTTGGGAAGAATGAGTTAAAGGTTCACTTTGAGAAATTTTATAAATTTCAGTAGAATCCGTATCGCCATCTGGTTTTTGTTTAATAAACTTGATAAGAACACAAACTTGAGTTTTAATTGATCCAATTTTTCCAATCACATGGCTAATGAGATTAATGATGTTTTGCCTTTCAGCTGTAAACAGGTTCTCTAGAGATGACCATGAACCAAGTTTAACATAAATTTCAAGGACACCTCTATAAGCTGATTTATGTAATCGAAAAGTAGCTACGTCACCAAGAGTAGAGACAATTGTTTTACATTTGATAACATGTTCAATGAACATTTCTTTATCTTTAAACCTTGTCTTACATTTTGAACATTTCAATAAACTACACTGTTCTTTATGAATAAATAGAGACTTGAATTTCTTGAATGAAACTCCACATTCACTGCACTCAAACATGACTATTACTAAACTGACAAAAGCAGTTGCTTATATTGTAAATTATCATGTTTGCTTGTGCGCATGCTTCAAGTTTCAAATCTTTAGTCTTGTAAAATCTACTAGTATAATTCTCAATATTAATAAAGTCAAGACTAATAACATTATCGAAACAATACTCAACATCATTATAACACGAGAAATAAACTGATAATTGGATTATTGATTTAAATCTTTAATAGATCATTTCAGTCTTTAAACAGAAAATATTGGTCATAAATTGAACAATTTCTTTTTCATTACAATAATAATCTTGATAGTTGATAATCAAAACAATCTTGTCCATATCATGGTGGTTAATTGTAAAAGGAATCTTGAGTCTTCTAAAACCAGTCCATATCTTGTCCATTAAATGATAAAGATTTTCATCAGAGTCCAACTCGCCTCGTAGCTTGAGTGAGGTCTTGAAATCTACCGTAAAATGAACCTTGTTAGCCATAAGTAAACTTCTTATACTATCAACTTTAGATGCACGATGATTGATGTCTCGACGTGAAATAAATAAAAGAAAAGAGAAAATTGAGTGAGCTCACTTTTTATTTATTAGAGTAAATATAAGGTTACAGTTTATAGATTCAAATGTTAGTAAGGATACATAATCAAAATTCAGAAATGTTGGGTTACATGTTTATAGATTCATTCCCAAATAATCTCTTGCATTGCGGCAAAAACCTGATCAGGGATTGAATGAGTAGCAACCTTGATGATTTCATCTTTTTCGAGACGGATACACGTTTCCTTTGCTCCAGCCTTCAATCGAATTTCAACTGCTCCAATCTGCTGTCCATTGCATGATATCTCTCGTCCACCATTTAGATTCAGCTCAAATTCACGATTGCCTTCATTTGTGTTGTTCAACTTTTCTTTCAATGACTCAAATTCATTATATCGAAGAAACAATCCAAGCTTTGTTTGTATTTGAGTCTTGATTGATGACTCGCTCCATCCTCCGACGAATATCAACATACGTTTGTCCATTTGATGATTTGGCTCGTTGTACAGTCAACCAAAGCTTTGGAGATATCTCAACACAAAACAGTTGTTGGAAACGGTCTTCAAAGCTCGCAGACGATGTACTCTGTCGTGCTCGCCATGGAAGAACTCGTTGAGTAGGAGTTTCAGGAGAAGCAGGAGAGTCAGGAATATTTGAAGTCATTTTTATCAAGTTGATGGTTTGATGATCAAGTATTGAATGAAAATTATGCTTCAAAGTACTCCTTTTATACTCTTAAAGTCCAGAAGAGCCCAGCCCACTTTCTCTTCTATTAGTTTCAATTAGAGCTTCCACCTCATTCATGATTAGGGGAGTGAATTTTTCAGCACTGAGTTATTTCCATCCCTCTTTTTTTTCTCATAATCACTATGATTGTATAACCTTGATCTGTGTAATCAGGATCAATTACTCCTCCTTGAACAGATTCCTTATGATGCTAAACTTGATCTAGATGCTAATCTAATATATTTTCTTTGTTCAACTTGAATGTTGATAAGATTACTTTATCCCAAGAGAAAACATTATCAACATGAGCGAAAACAATACCAACTTTCCGTAGCCTTCATTTGAGTTATTGAGTTAGTAAACACAAAGTTTGATTGTTGAAAAATTTTTATTTAGTTATAAAAAAAGTTTTATACATAATTAAGGTCTGATCACTTTGATCCGACATTGGACATTTCGACGACATATTGGACAACTTTCTTGCCCAAGTCGTTTCAAAGTGCTGTCACAGCTACAACAGACAGCTAAATGATTACATGGTGAATATAAAACTTGTGTTGTCTTGAAAAGACAAACACAACAAAGGTGTCTCTCGGCCTCGTAACTATCCTTGTTTGCGTATGGACAATCTGGAGAAAAATGGTTATGAACCTCCCCTTGAAGTTTACTCAGCTTACCATCAATAGCCAACCGACAGAAAGCACACTGGACTATTCTATTTGAACCGGTCCAAAAGAATCCACTCTCGACGAACCAATCCCTCTGCCTTGGAGTCAATCTGGATCCAGCGAATGACCAGTGACGATTTATCCTTAGTTGATAAAGCTGGAAAACTTTCTCTGGATTAAGGATTTTTGTCTCCGAGAAAACTTGAAGTATTTGTCCATCTGTTGAACGGACAAGAGAAGATATCAGAGATATAGACGTTTCATCATCTATCTCTTGCATCTGCACCGCATCACTATATCGATGTAAATCGCCTTCAATCCTGCATCAAGTTGGGTTCTTTCTTGAGTACAAAGCAAGAAGGACTGAAGCTAGCGTGAAGAGCTACAACGTCTTCGTCCAGAAATTCGAACGCGATTTGAAGTCCACAACAAAAACACTGCAAGTAGTCAGCGTCTTTGAACCGGAAAAATCCATCTTTGACAGCATCAAACCACCTCTCGTTCAAGTCTATACAGGACATCATTCTATTCAATTCTTGTTTCATAATTGAATAGGTTCTAAGACAGCCAGTCATCTTAGAACCCCAGTTTTCAATTGCGGGTGTAATATTTCGGGTCATCTATAATAATTGATAAAAGAGAGAAAAAAATATGATTAAAGCATAATTTTATTAAAAATCATTAATCGATTTTCAGCTTTTTGTCTCATCATCTTGAGATAAGCTGAATGGAGTTTACACTTGTTCATAATAAGTTTTAAATGGTTACATTTTAAAGCCCAAAGTTTCACATCAGAAAATTCGTTACAATGGGCTTTACAAATAATTAATTTTGTAGTAATATGAGAAAAAATACTCTGATCATCGGTAAATGATGAACAGAGTTTACAATTCAACAATTTATGTTCAAGTTTTACATGAATTTTTTTTAACATAAATAATAAATGTTGACATTGACAGACGATTGGTTTTGCCTTCATTTTCTTCTTTGTTCCATCCAAATGTTTCTTAAAGCTGGAGTCCTTGGTTGGAGCTAAAGGACCCTTACCTTTGGAGACCTTGTTGGTTGAAATGGTAGTCGAAATAATTTTCATCTTAAATCAAATAAAATTTGTTTAAGAAAATTTGATGAATTTTGGCCTGGTGGTCAATTCTCACTCCTTCAAGTGAGCTAAAAAACTTCCTGTTGTTGAATTTAATTGAAGACGTTTGTATATCAAAAGAAATTATTGCTCTAAGAAACTTTTCTTTTGATTCGCGATCAAGTAACTTAACTATTGAAAGGAAATCACTTGATCTAATGTTGAAGTCAGCAAGATTCAAGGGTTCGTTTGAGCCCTTGGTTGATCGAAGCTCGATCGGGATTTGCACTAGTTTGAGAGAACTGAAGTACGAAACAGACATTAATTACCTTTGAATTGAGATGAAAACTTTGGTAAGAAGAACTAAAGATGTGGTTGAATAACAAATAGACGTGAAAAGTCTGAATAATAAACTGTTGATGGAACAACGATGAAAACGAAAGATTTAACTTGAATCTTATTATGTTGTTAAAGATTTGAAGACTGATGAAAATTCACTTGAATCCTCTTCCATTTATATACGATCGTCTTGCCTTAGCTCCCTCGCTTGTGTCCTTCAGTAAAGCTGATTATAGCAGGGCCTCAAGCAATTTCATAAACAATGATTATTCTAATTATTGTGGGCCTCTTGATTACTTTTTCAAGAACACTTTTAATTGCACTTGAACTTGACTACAAAGAATAACGTACTGAATAAATTAATTATCTATTCTTCTTAAAGTGCATTTAAGTAAAATAATTATAGTAGGGCCTCAAGTAATCTCATGGATAATGATTTTTTTAATTATCATGAGACTCTCAATTGTTCTTCCAAGAACGTTTTTAATTACAATCACTCGAACACAAAGTATGTATTTTAAATAAGATAATTATCTTGGCCTCTCAGTGTGTCCTTCATTGAAACAATTCATAGTAGAGCTTCACGTTATTTTCATAAATAATGATTTCTTAATTATGTTCTCTTGATAACTGGTTCAAGAACATTTTACTAACATTCATGTACTCAAATTATCATTACACAATAAAAATAACTATCTGGGCCTCTTAATTGCAGGTGGAAATTCAAGGTATATTTATTTAACATGAAATTTAGCAATTATTAAGATGATCATTAGATTGAATAATTGCTGTAGCTTAAAATAAAAGAATCAAGGTCTGCATCGTACTCTGGCCGTGAGAAGTCCATAAGACTTACAATGCCAAAGGTACAAATGTCCAACCATGTTGGACATTCAGGGGGAGCCACCATCAATTCTGATACATTGAATATGTTCGACCAATAGTACTTTCCATTAGCTATCCATTGATACCAATCTCAAGTCTCTACGACATACAGAAATAGCAGTACAAATGTCCAACCATGTTGGACATTCAGAGCCACCATCAATTCTGATACATTGAATATGTTCAATAGTACTTTCCATTAGCTATCCATTGATACCAATCTCAAGTCTCTACGACACACAGCCAGCAGTACAAATGTCCAACCATGTTGGACATTCAGGGGAGCCACCATCAATTCTGATACATTGAATATGTTCGACCAATAGTACTTTCCATTAGCTATCCATTGATACCAATCTCAAGTCTCTACGACATACACAGCCAGCAGGTACAAATGTCCAACCATGTTGGACATTCAGGGGAGCCACCATCAATTCTGATACATTGAATATGTTCGACCAATAGTACTTTCCATTAGCTATCCATTGATACCAATCTCAAGTCTCTACGACATACACAGTTAAGGTACAAATGTCCAACCATGTTGGACATTCAGGGGAGCCACCATCAATTCTGATACATTGAATATGTTCGACCAATAGTACTTTCCATTAGCTATCCATTGATACCAATCTCAAGTCTCTACACATACACAGTTGACAAATGTCCAACCATGTTGGACATTCAGGGGAACCATCAATTCTGATACATTGAATATGTTCGACCAATAGTACTTTCCATTAGCTATCCATTGATACCAATCTCAAGT